GTGATTTCGCATGGTCGCCGCATACGCCTTGAGTTACTGATGAACATTAGTGATCCCACCATGTGTTGTCCGCAGAAGCTATCAAGATACCAGGTGTTGACGCTCTCGCGATTCTGTCGCGCAATGCCAGCAATCTTTGGAGAGATAATGCGGTCGAAGTCACCAGCGTACGGCGAGCGGTCAATGTATCTTTTGGCAGGGAGGCTGGGAGGTGACTACGGAGTGCTTGGAGGCAGCTCGAAGTCAGGTGGGATGTTGGTGGGTCTGTCGATCCAGAGACTGAGCGTAGGGTCATTGTTTGGACTTGGTGTGACAGGAGCATTGGGCGCAATTCGTGGGTATTCAATGTCGTCATAGTATTGGATGCCTCTGCGACGACGCGCCATGCAGCTCAAGGCTGATCCCTTGCTTTTGTCCTTGGATGATGCATGCAGGAGCGAGATGCTTGCGACGGGAGGTGGCGACAAGGTCGCCGTCACAGCTGGAGTTGTCGGGGGCGCCGAGGACTGCTGACCAGATGAGTTACTGTTGCGCCTTTCGTTGGCAGCCTTTCGCTTGTAGCACCGATCTATGGTGTGACCGGGCTTCTTGCAGTATTTGCAGAAGGTTCCCTTCTTTCCATGCTGCTCCCGTTCAGACGATCCTGCAAAGAACACTAATTTCTCCCGCTTGCTGTTCTTCTCATTGTACAGGTCGATTTCCTTCTGCTCGGAGAAAAGAGTGGCGCAAATGGCGGACTCGGAAATGGTTGCTCGAGCACGGAGCAACGATTGGCATTGGCGCCAATCGGGTCCAAGGCCAGAGAGAACCATCGAGACGAACATGTCACACAGATTGTGACACCGGTTGACATACGGTCCCGCTTTCTCCCCTTGCTGCATTTTGACGGATGTCAGTTGACTGAGCAGACGACTCATGGTAACCGGATATGTTGTCACGTATGAATTGCGCAGGTCTTCCCAGGACAGTTGCGCAGTAGCACGCTCCATTTATAGGAGCGTATGCCGAGCTGCTCGGAGGGGGAGAGATTTCGGAGCAGCGCGGTGTACGCGAGAAGGGATTCGTTGTAGTACTGATGCAACTCGAAGATGGTACCTTCCGATGGAAAGGGTGAACTCCCGTCGTAGTACATCTAGATCTGAGCTGTTGTTGTGAGGAGCTCGAATTCGGAACTCCACGTGTAGAAATCTTTGCCGTCGAATGGGGTTGAAGTCTTCAGATTTGAAGTCAGAACGAAGTTGGATTGCATGGTTGCGATTGCTTCTGACTGTGCGCGATGTTGACTGTCTTGTGCAGGAGCTGAAGCTTGACGGTTGTCAAAGGTAAATGATCTCTCGGAGTTGATGCGGCGATCTTCTCCAGGGAGGGGAAGTCCAGCGGCGCCTCTGGCGTAGCTTGAGCCGTCAATGCTCATGGCTTGATGGCTCTCAAGCGCGTTGAGGCGAGTGACTAGCTGCTCAATGAGAGCGGCGCTGACGGAAGTCACCAATGAAGGCGCATTAGTTGTTGCTGGTGGTGGGCCCGGGGAGTCTACAGTGGCTTTTCCTTCAGGGGCCATAATATAGCAAACTTGTAATAGGTGGTCTTTAATGAAAGACTTTGTAAGGAGTTTGTTCTTAGGAAGAACAAGAACTTTGCAAGCCTTATGATCCACCCAAGCTCTCATACGTTGCTGTTATAACTAGAGGATCGAATTGGACAGGATAAAATCCACCCTTATTGCAACTGTATTGCATAACTACAGTAACTGCGACTATTGCCATTCTTTGGCAGTTACCTGGTTGCATCGCCTAACCTCTGATGCGGTTGTCGGTTGGTCAACAGTCACGAGTGTTGACTTTTGGTGACTGTTGACCTTCGGATGGCTCTCAAGCTACTGAGTGTTCGATACGAGCATGTAGCGATACTGGTGTAGCAGCATTATGAAGTGGTGCACTAGGAGAGAACCTTCGGGAATGCTACAATAACCTTTCGGTTATTCCAACATATGCGCATGAAAATCCACAATAAAAACTATGGACCTGACAAGTCAACACGAGCCTCTTTCCATCTCCAAATCATACTTGGTCGCTTGAATGAAAGAGCAAATTATCTGAGAAGTACAAAATAGAGAAAAACAAAAAGGCGAAATAAAAAAGAGTAATGATGCAAATTGACATGATGAAAGAAGGAATCGGAAAAAAAAACTGAGACAAATACCCAGAAGGGAAGGCAAGGTTTGGCATTCGTTACAATACAGCATGCAGTCAAGACAGGGATCAGAATGAAGAATGAAACAACAAATTTATGCAATTACGGTTTAAAGAACAACAAAACAAAAGCTCAGGAAAAACAACAATTTCGAACAAAACAATTATGGAACGCATAAGTGAACGATCCACGAACTAAACAACGCGAAATAGAAGCAACAATAAATGAACGAAACGTGCAATAGATTCCAATTCAAAGAAATTGAGAAATGAGGGGAGAGAATGTGAGGAATGTTGCAAGGGGTTAATGAAGTAAGAAATTCAAAGAGAGTATGCAAATACGAGTTACTAAGGATGCAAGAGAGGAAAGAGATGGTGAAGAGCAGTAGAAACGGATGCATGCCTATGAACCTTAAAAACAATTAGAAGCTAGCATCTTTACAACTTGCATCACTTAAAAACGACCAAGAGAAATGTAAACGACTAGGATACATTAATAAGAAAGGTTAGCCTCGATCCTATTCATCTAACAAAACGGAAAAACGGATGATGATAACAGATAATGAAAGGTTCTTACATCAACTTCTGGTCAACATGATGAGCATAAGAATAACAATGCTTACCTAAGGAGTTGGAGTGGCGTGAGTGGCATAAGTGAAGGGAGCAGCTGGAGTAGCATCAATGGCTTCAAGGAAGAAGAGGAAGGGAGGGTGGGAAAAGAGGTAAACACAAAGGTAAACGAACAAAATAAGATCATTAAAGATAATGAACAAACCGACATAAAAATTAGGCTTTAAAAAATGACACTACGTCAGTTTCTGGATTGGACGGCTCTAAACCATAGACGAGAAGAAAATGAACAAAAACATGCAAATACGAGGGAGTAATAAGGCAATCGACAAAAAGGAAAAGAAAGGTCGAACAATAGAAGGAACGGATGCTAGATTATGCATGACGAAAAGAAATCAGCACAAGGAAAATCTGAAGTCTTTGCTAAGGGCCTAGAACAGAAGCTTAAACAATGTAGTCTCGCTAATAATAATCATTTTATACACTTACAATACGAGATTACTAGATGTAAGTCTTCCTAATACTCATCTAACTTAGTTGCATTTAGAGCTTAGGGAGATTAGGGAGCTTAGGCACTCATGCTTCTCACCTTACTGGTAGGTAGAGTGGTAAGTGGAGTGTGATGAGCGAGGGAGAAAGGGGGACACACGAACCCTAAGGCAGTAAGTTTTTTATTAGACAAAAAAAAAAAAAAAAAAAAAAAAAAAAACGCCTTTGGTAGCGCAGTCGTTAGAAGTTACGATTCGAAGCGTGAGGATATTAGTTCGACTCTTGCAGTGAGCGATTTGGGAATCATCAACCAGAGTCCATACTCCGTATAAAAAAAATCGGTAATCATGCAAATCGAGGTCTATTATTGTATTTGAAGCTGTATAATATTGGTTTTCTTTCCATACCCTAAATAAACAGTGTTTTTAACCGGACGACACTGAAAATCAGTGTTAGACTCCTAGGGTACCCAAAAACCTATTAGAGGCCCTGCGCGTGGTGCTCGGGTTGTACTCGCTAAAATGCGAGTACACTAAAGAATTGTAATTCCTTATATTACTTCGCTATGGTTAACCCCAAGGACTCAGTATAGGTTTCCTTGAGGTCACCTCAAAGTTCGTTGTGACCTCAAGGCTACCCACAGAAGTAACCTACATGAAACCGTCAAGTCACCGCGACGATTCCGCTCCCGGGTTTCTGGAGCGAATCAGATGTCACCGTTGATCGCGCTGCAGACATTAATTCGAATAGTGTAACACTTGCTGTTGTACACGAAATTGATTCGCATTTCACAATAGACACTATCAAATATATTAAATGTGATGTACAAGCTGTATAAACAAGTGATAAAAATAATTATACTTATTCCAATTTCAAACACCATAGCATCTAGCACCAAAAGGCACCTTACTCTTGTGGGGTCACACAACTTCAGAATAAGCTCTTACTGAAGATTGCTTGTCAGAACAAGAGAGCAAAATTTACAAGTAGGTAACAAGAATTAAATGGGAGCCTGAAACAAGGAACCGCATAGAATGGAAAATTTATCGTAACTCCACATCACAGCTGTCCCTCCAATAGGACCGTCTTCTTGCAATAGCTAATTAAACCGTCAATTAGAACGGATGGTAAGCTTATATCTGAAAAGGGACGGTGCAAGGGCAACGATTTGCAATGAAACATGACAACGAGCAAGATAAACACGACGTCGACAAGAACCAACACGGAATGTGTCAGAGGTCCACTAGAGATCCCCGATTGATCCTAGGGAAGGGTTACAGGCACGTCAGCCTGGGGGGTTATGGGCGCACTCACCCGCCACACAAACAAGGCATTTTATCCTAGTGGTTAGTGGTTGGGATCCTGATATGGTATCAGAGCGAAGGTCTCGGGTTCGAATCCCGGTGTATGCACCTCGGGCATCCCAGTGCGGGGGGGTGTCAGAGGTCCACAAGAGCTCCACGATTGATCCTAGGGAAGGGTTACGGGCACGTCATATGAGCTACCCCACTACAGCCTACACAGACTATAGTGTATGAGTTTAACACACCCCCATAGGCAAAGTGGGGGAGAACAAGGGGTCACAAGACCAGTCAAGCAAAGCAAGGCAAAGCAAGCTCAGGGTGGATCACAACGTCACCACACAGTCTGAGCACAAGTTCAAGGCCACAAGGCCAGTTCACATGCAAGATTACATATATATAACGCTAAACAAGCAAGGGCAGGTATATATATGTAACAGTACAAGCAAGGTCAAGAAGTAAGCAAGTGAGGCAAGGTAGGCACAAGACCTAACAGAGTGCAGAAGCGCTGATGATCACAAGGCGCGAGTGCCTTAGTGAAGATATCAGCAGTGTTGGCCTCAGAGGCCACGTAAGCAAGGCGCAGCTGACCACGCTGCTGCAGCTCACGAGCAAGGAAGTAGCGAAGAGCGATGTGCTTCGTTCTGTGCTCCAGTCTGTGCTCCCGACACAAGGCCAGCATGGCCTTGTTGTCTACGTACAGCACGAGAGGAGAACGAGGCGGCTCTCCCAGGTCAGTCAGCAGGTAGGTGAGCCAGCGTAGCTCCTGTGCAGCCATGGCCCCTGCGTAGATCTCAGCCTCACAACTGGAGCCGAGAACAGAAGACGAGCGGGTAGACCGCCACGAAACAGAGCCGGAACCAAGGCTGAAGGTGTAACCCTGTAACGACCGCTGCGTAGCCTGGTCGTCGGCCCAAGAAGCGTCTGCGTGACCAGTGAGGACCACTGGACTCTGCCCTCCAAGCACAAGCCCCATGCCCGACGTACTGCACAAGTAGCGCAACACCCTCTTCGCTGCAGCCATGTGCTCTGGTCTGTGTCTCCCAGGAGCAACATAGCGTGCCAGAATGCTAAGAGGGTATGCAAGGTCAGGTCGAGTGTAGGTCATCAGGTACATGAGGCAGCCAACAAGCTCTGGGTACGGGCCACTCGACTCTACGGACTCATCCGAAGGCAGAGCTGAGAGCGAGTGGCGTGTAGGCAGAGGAGTGGCCTGAGGCGAGGAGTACGTGAAGCCGAAGCGCTGAAGGACCTGCTGCACCATGTGTGACTGAGTCAGGGTAATGGTGCGCTGTGCTCTGTCCCGGGTGATCTGCAAGCCAAGGTAGCTGCGCAGTTCACCCAGGTCTGTGCACGTGTGTCTCTTCTGCAGCTCGGACTTCACGTAGGCAAGTCCAGCAGTGTCAGCTGTAGCAAAGACCAAGTCGTCGACGTACACGAGGATGTAGAACGGCGGCAAGGAAGAGTCGGTGCGCAGAAACAGCGACGGGTCGGCAGTAGAAGGAGCAAACCCAAGAGCCGCAAGTGTAGTCCTCAGTGTGTCGTGCCACTCACGAGGCGCCTGGCGGAGACCGTAGACTGGCCGCCGGAGGCTCCACTGGGTGCCAGGAGGAAAAGTCCCAGTGAAGCCAGGTGGGCGGCGCAGCCAGATCTCCTCGTGCAGGCTGCCCTACAAGAAAGCAGTGCTGAAGTCAAGAGAGTGCAGCTCGTAGTCTCGGTAAGCGGCTATGTGCAGCAGTACCCGAAGAGTGGTCATCTTCGGGGTGGGAGAGAAGGTCTGAAAGTAGTCAACTCCCTGCCGCTGACTGAAGCCACGAGCCACGTAACGCGCCTTGAAGACAGGCGGAGAACCCGGCGGCCGCTTCACCCTGAAAATCCACATGCCACTGACGATGTTCGCCCCAGGCGGGGGAACCTCGTCAACGTAGGTGCCTGTGGACTTCCAGGAAGCCATCTCTGCGTCCATGGCTGCCTGCCACTGAGAGGAGTAGGGACCCTCTATCGCCTCCGCGTAAGAGCGCGGAGTCGGGATGTCAAGTGCATCCGGGTCTCCCTCAGGGGCAAGCAGCATGGACACGAGATGAGGTGAAGCAGCAGCCAAGCACTGGAACTCCTCCTGCCTGTCCTCAAGGACGTCCGTGCCAAGAGCACACTCACCCCCGACGGACGGAGGACAGACAGACTCAGACTCAGCGACGAGACTGGCAGCGTAGTCTAGGCGACAGCGAGCAGCGAAGTCGACAAGCTCAGCAACGAGGGCAGACGCAGCAGTAGACTCAAAGGAAGGGTCAGTGACGACAGTAGCAAGGAGACGTGTGACAGTAGGACGCGCAGCACGAAGGGAGTCCGACTCAGGGTCAGGAAGCTCAGGAAGAGAGGACGCGGGAGGAGAGGGCAAAGGGGCACGCAGCGGAGCAGTGGAAGGACGCAGAGACATCCGGTGCGTGCCGGGGACAGGGGGAGGACGCTGACGCGAACCACGACCACTAGTGCGAGCAGCACGGACAGGCGACGCAGGGCGAGACGCAGGCTCACGACGCTCAGCAAGACCTCCAGTAGGACCAGTGTAGGGAGAAGGAGAAGGAAGCGGGGAGGCCGGCTGTAACTGTGACTCAGTCTGGACAGGAGGCGGACACGCTAAGGGAGGAGCAGGACCAAGAGAGGACGGAAGACCAAGAACCTGCTCAAGGAGCGGAACGAAGTACGGCCGCGGCCGCGCAGCGCCACCAGTGCCAGCAGGAACAGCACCAGCACCCCCAACGGGAGCACCAGCACCAGGAGGACCCCCAGCTCCAGCAGCTCCAACTCCAGCACCCTCAGCAGCACCAGCGCCAGTAGCACCTCCAGCGCCAACACTCCCAGTAGCTCCAGCGCCAGGCAAACCACCCGAAGACGCAGCAGCTCCAGCTCCAGGAGCACCAGCAGCACCAACGCCAGTAGCACCAGTAGCACCACCAGCTCCAGCAGGAGGAGCACCCGTAGGCCCAGCAGCTCCAGTACACCCTGTACGAGCACCTCTGGGACCCTCTGCACCAGCACCCTCAGCAGCAGCAGAACCTCCAGCGTCCGCAGCACCACCAGCTCCAGCAGCACGCCGCCAGCGCCGGGCGAACCACTCACGCAGCTCCTGTGGAGAGAGTAGCTCCCGCCGGGACGAAGCACCCGAAGCACCGCCAGGCCCAGCACCACCAGACGCCTCACGAGCAGGCCCAGCACCCTCAGGCGCCGTACTTCGAGACACAGCACCCCCAGGCTCAGTACCCCCAGGCTCAGCACCCCCAGGCGTAGCACCCCCAGGCTCAGCACCCCCAGGCGCAGCACCCCCGAGCCCAACACCCCCAGGCGCAGCACCCCCAGACCCAGCACCCCCAGGCTCAGCACCCCCAGCAGTACCAGAGTCAACAGCTACCTCGACAGGCTCGACTGCATCTAGTTGGGACACACCTGAGGGAGCAGGACCCTGAGGGGGGAGGGGGTCTACCGGAGGGGGACCTGGCGTAAGGAAGAGCGGCGGGGGAGGGAGGGACGCAGTGCGGTAGGGGAAGAGACGGTAGTAGGGAACCGACTCGTCAAAGGTGACGTCCTGGGAGGACAGAACACGGCGCGAGGTGGGGTGGTAGAACTGCCAGCCTGGCGCGTCAGGAGGGAAGCCAAGGAAGACGCAGGGAACAGCACGAGAGGACAGCTTGTCCGCAGACAAGTCGCGGACAAACGCCCGAGATCCCCAGACACGGAACGCAGACGCATCGCCAACCTTCCCCGTCCACAGTAAAGCAGGGGAGGTCTCCGGCCTGGAGACCCGGGGGTGAAGGTTGATCTGATGCGCCGCGTACCGAACCGCAAACGGCCACAGAAAATGGGGGGCAGCCGCATGGACCATGGACGTACGAGCGACGTCCATGATCATGCCAATGCGGCGCTCAGCAATCCCATTTTGCTGTGGAGAGTCCGGAAGCGTGAAGGTCTGGCGGATGCCTCGTGCACGACAGAAGGCCCGCAGAAGGTCAGAGGAGAACTCTCCGCCTCTGTCAGAGTGCAGACGCAGAACAGGAAAGTCAGAGCCGAAACTCTCCCGGAGCTGGAGACGAGCTGCGCGGATCCAGGCGATCAACACCTCAGTGACGTCACCCTTGCTGCGCAAGGGGAAGACTGCGGTGTAACGCGAGTAGTCGTCAACCACCAGCAGGAAGTAACGCTCGTGACCCTGTCCACGGACGCGGGCTGGGCCCCACACGTCCATGTGAAGCGTCTGCAGCGGAGCCTCTGTCGGAGGAAACTCGGAGGAGTGAGGGGCAGCGCGCTGCCGCCCCTCGACGCAGGGAACGCAGGTGGGGGCAGGCCCCGGAGGAAGGGGAGGGAGGGACCGGGGGAGGCCAGAGACAAGAAGACGGGAAGCCATGCCTCGAAGACGAGGCAGGGAGGGGTGACCAAGGCGGTGGTGCCAGAGGAGAGTCCGGTGGGACAGGAGACGACACGAGCAGGGGGCAGACTCAGGACCAGACCTGGACGCCGCAGCAAACACCTGACCCGACGCTGCTACCTGAGCAGACTCAGTGACTGGAGGAGACTCAGTAGTCAGTGTGTACAGGCTCGACCCCGGCCGACGGGTAAACGTGGCCAAGTGTCGGCCCGTGTCTGCACACGTGCAGTGAGTCACCCGCTGACGAGCAGGGGTGAACTGGTCAACCCCTGTATCCTGTAGGTCAGCACCCGCCATCAAGTTCGTAGAGAACGAGGGGAGGTAAAGACCCGACAGGGAGCCAGACGGGACCGCTGGACACGGTAGGACAGTGGAGTAGTGGGCAAGGACAGGACCCCCAGAGGGGTCTGCCAGGGAGACTGCAACGGGCCGACTGAGTGGCGTGAGAGTGGTGCAGTCTCGAAAGAAGGAGCGGGAAGCACCCGAGTCAAGGGTGAAGGTGTGGGTGTCCGGAGACGACGCAGTACCTGAGAGCGCAGACTCACCGGCACTTGGGGCGGCAGACGCACTAGCACCTAGAGCAGCAGCCTCACAAGCACCTAGCGCAGCAGCCTCTATGAATGGGTCAGGCGGAAAACACCGGTAACAGTCACCCTCATCACTAATAGTCACAGCATACATGGCAGCAAGAATAGCATCATAATCAAGATCAAAGATCGCAACACCCGCCCTAGACAGCTCGCCCCAGCGAGGGATCTCAGTAGCGTCGGGGAACTGGTGACGCCACGCGTCCGTCAGACGGCCGAAGCAGCGCTGGGTGGAGTGCGCTCCCCCACACTGCTCACCCACTCGGTCGCCGGTACGGAGAACGTAGGTACAGGGGCCAGTACCCCCACCCCGCTGACGTGCAGCGTACCACTCACGAAGCTGCTGAGGGGGGGGATCTCACGAGCGCGCTGCTGCTGCTGCTGGCGCTGACCACCACCGGAGCCAACCCTCTGTGCAGCGCCACCCCGACCAGCTCCACCTCCTCCGCCGCTACCTCCTCCACTACCGCCACCTCCGCCACCTCCGCTCCCACCGCCACCGCCGCCTCCGCCTCTGCCTCCACTGCCGCCACTGATGCCCCCACCCCCGCCACCACCCCCACCGCCACCCCCACCCCCTCCACCACCTCCACCTCCGCCACCACCACCCCCGCTAGCTCCTCCAGCACCCTTGCCCCCCTTGCCCTTGCCAGGGCGGCGTCTCCCGCTAGGGGCAGACGCCGCAGCGACCGACTCAAGACCAACGAGGTCGGCCGCAGCAGCAGAGGCAACAGAGGGCAGGAGGGGAGAGGGGGAGCACCCCTCAAAGACAGGGGTACGAGGGTCACCACGAGAGGCTCCTACAGCGACTATGCTCTTCTCTGCCGCTAGAAGGCGCTCCTCGAGGAGGTCAACGGTGAGGGTGGTGGGGCAAACAGAGAGGAAGTGGTCCCTAACCGGGCGAAGGGTGTCAGGGAGCCGGGTGACTATGTAGTAGAGGGTGATGTACATGGGGGGGGGGTTCTTGGCGCAGAACTCAGCAGGAAGCGCAGCGCGGTAGCGAGTGTCACTAGTGCGAAGGTGCGTAATGAGGTCAGCGACAGTGGGAAAAGCGGCGAGGTCAGGGAAGAGGTACGGTAGGATGAGGCGGCTAAGCGCAGCAGTGGCAGGGGAAGAGTAGCGTGCAACTACAGCGTCGTACAAGGTCTTAGCACTCTTGTACTGGCTAAAGTGCGCACGCTCAGCGGTCGGCAAGTGGCGGCGCACAGCAAGGCGGGCAGCAGCATCGCGCGTGGCCCACTATTAGCGAACAGTGGCGTCAGCATCAGCAGCAGGTGCAGGAGAGGCACCAGAAGTGAGGTCAAAGAGGGAGAGACCGTCTGCCCTATCGCTCAGCAGGAAAAGCTGCAGGTCATCTACCCAGACGTCAAAGTCAATGGCCCGACCCTCAGCATCAAAAGTGAGGACACTAGGGGTAGCCATGACAGCAGTAGACTAGCAGCGCGAGCAGCAGGCAAGGGCAGTGCAGTGGTGGAGGCGCTGCTCTTACCGGGCAGGCGAGAAGGACCGAGGCTCGCCGGCAGGAACAGGGCCGCGACGGCAGTAACGGCGGCTCGGCGGCTAGGCAGCTCGGCGGCAACGGCGGCAACGGCTGCTCGGCGGCAACGGCGGCTCGGCGGCAACGGCTGCTCGGCGGCAACGGCGGCTCGGCGGCTCGGCAGCTCGGCGGCAACGGCGGCTCGGCGGCGTCGGTGGCTCGTTGGTGACGGCGGGGCCGTGAAGGGCGGCAGGGCCGCTGAAAGGACGGCGGCAGGGCCGCTGAAGGGCGGCGGCGGGGCCACGAAGGGTGGCGACCGGGCCGCGGAGGTGTGGCGACGGGGCCGCGAAGGGCGGCGCCGGGGTCGCACGGGTGTGGCGAGGGGGGCCGCGAAGGGCGGCGGTGGGGTCGCGGGCGGCTGCGACGAAGCCGCGAGGGTGGGGCCGCGGGGTCGCGAAGGTAGGGCGACGGGGCCAGCAGTGGCGGCGCCGGGGCCGGTAAGAGCGGCGCCGGGGCCGCGAGGGTGGGGCGACGGGGCCGCGAGGGTGGGGCGACGGGGCCGCGAGGGCGGCGAGAAGGGGCCGCGAGGGCGGCGCGAAGGGGGCCGCAAGGGCGGCGCGACGGGGCCGCGAGGGCGGCGTGACGAGGCCGCAAGGGCGGCGCGACGGGGCCGCAAGGGCGGCGCGACGAGGCCGCTAGGGGCCGTGAGAGGGGAGCGCGACTCGGGCAAGGGTTGAGTGCGCTCCGGGCAGGAAAAAAAATCTTACGGTGGGCCCTAGGAACAGTTCCCACGAGGGAACCTGCTCGATACCATGTGAAAACTAGAACGAGAATGATTGCATTGAGCAGCATGAGGAGTACAAGTACCAAACCCTAAAGTGTTGTACCCCATATGAGCTACCCCACTACAGCCTACACAGACTATAGTGTATGAGTTTAACAACGTCGGCCTGGGGGGTTAGGGGCACACTCACCCACTACACAAACAAGCCCTTTTATCCTAGTGGTTAGTAGGTGGGATTCCGACATTGTATCAGAGCGAAGGTCTCGGGTTCGAATCCCGGTGTATGCACCTCGGGCATCCCAGTGCGGGGGGGTGTCAGAGGTCCACTGGAGATCCCCGATTGATCCTAGGGAAGGGTTACAGGCACGTCGGTCTGGGGGGTTATAGGCGCACTCACCCACCACAAAGGAAAAAATTGAACATGAACACACTGAACGAAAAAATTGTCCACATGCTCACATTTTATAACAAGAATGTGACATAAGGTTGTATAAGGATTAAGCCTTAATAAATGGGCGCCATAAGGTTATAGCATGGAGGGTTATACTTCATCTGATGTGGGTTCAAGGTCTTACACACAGTTGTACAAGCAGGTGATACAGAAATCAGCACATACTACCATATGGACATTTTTTTACAAAAACAGTTTCACAGTCACACCAAGCAGAATCTAGTACTTGGTCCAGCGACCCTTGGCCTTGAGCACTGCTTGCACACGCCTAGGCATGCTGTCGATCAGCTCACTGCACCAGGTCGCTGGGATTTTCTCCCATTCCGCTTGAACTCTATCCCATAGCTCGAGAATGCCTGCAGGGGGGCGGGGGTAAGCAAGCAGCTGCTTCTTCAAATACACCCATAGATGCTCTATGGGGTTGAGGTCAGGACTGGATGCTGGCCATGGGAGAACCGCGTATGGCTGGTCGGCTAGGTAAGTTTTCACCATCTTGCACGTATGCTTCGGGTCATTGTCGTGCTGGAATACAACTGCCTCAGGTTCCAACTCGTAATGTTCGATGGTCTGCTGCAATTCGTCCTGCAGGATTGAACGGTATAACTCCCCGTTCATCCGCCCCTCTATCTTACACATAAAACCCGCTCCCTGATAGGTCATGCACCCCCAAATCATGATGGAGCCGCCACCATGTTTGACGGTCTGTTTCACATGGTGCGGCTCTTTGTGACAGTCCCCGCGAATCCAGGCCCAACTACGCCCATCGCTACTAAACCGGCAAATCTTAGTTTCGTCGCTCCAAATCACCCGTTTCCAGTCATCGACTGTCCAATGCTGATGGTCCTTGGCCCACTGCTGGCGGTCCTTAACCGTTTTCGCGGATAAACGTGGCTTCGAAGGCTTTTCTATCGCCTTAACGCTGTGCCGCTTGAGAGTGTTTCGAATGGTGGCGCCCGTGACGCTAATGCCGTGCGTTGAAGCTAGCATTCCTGCTGCGGCCTCGGCGGATTTCGATTCTCCGGAAACGATCGACCGAACAACAATCCTAGCGACTTGCTCTGGTAGCTTGCGCGGTCGACCAGGTTTCGGCGGGGAAGGCACTAGCTCACTATACGTTTTCGGACCGAGGTGGCGGAGGAGCTCGTCATGCACTGCGCTTTTCGAAACTCCCAACTCTTTAGCGATTTGGCGATAACTACGCCCGGCTGCTATTAGCTGCATGATGCGCTTCTGTTTCGCCGCACTAAGGCGCTTCATGCTGAGGGGGTGTTAGATCTACTTGCAGATCAACGACGGGGCTCGTAATCTCCTCTATACCAAGCTATTCTAGATCTAACTGCGCACGAAATAAAGCACGAGACATAACGGAAGTATTTGTCCGTATGGGGTGTCGAGTGGGGAAAGCTGACTCGTTAGAGCGCGTGCGTTTTTTGGGGCTATAGGTAACCAACACGAACTGGTAACACTCAGACGCGAACCCTGAAGGCAGTTTGTTATAAACATTACTTGTTTATATTACAAATGTGTTCAAGTTAATGTTGAGCTCGAATCTATAAGGACAATTATTTAGTTCAGTGTATTGGCTGGGATTCTGATATGGTATCAGAGCGAAGGTCTCGGGTTCGAATCCCGGCGTATGCATCTCGGGCATCCTAGTGGGGGGGGGGGGGGGGGGGTGTCAGAGGTCCACTGGTGATCCCCGATTGATCCTAAGGAAGGGTTACAGGTACGTCACTCTGACGGGTTATGGGCGCACTCACCCGCTACACAAACAAGCCCTTATATCCTAGTGGATAGTGGCTGTGATTATGACAGAATGACCCCCACTGATCCTGTAACCATCACAACCTTCAGGTAAGTCAGGGTGGAATAGCTTACCGTACGAGCACAATTTAGAGCTGAACAACGCATTCTATGGCAGCCCCGCGATGTTGGCGAAGAATCACGCATTGCTCCCACCACCGGTAATCTGCCATGAAAAAACAAACATCAAATAAACATGATTAATACTCGTCATTAAACCTCGGCGACACATAAAATTCCTAGACGTAGCCGGTAAACTAGCAAATATATAGGGAACCTAATCAATAGCGGGCATGCATAGTTGTCAGAAAACCATGCGTCGTAAAGCGACATCGCGAAGCTAAGGATACATGGCGGGAGCTTGATGCATTGACAATGAAGAATGAGACCACCTCTCAAGAAGGGGGGTGGTAAGGTACTTAGGGCGTGTAACCATTTTGCCTATTTTTGTTCCGGACGGTCCGAAATGTGGACCGACCGGATAAGCGAAAAGTTACCAGAGTCGCAGCATTTCGAAAGTCTGTTCGTGGAACTCCTTGTGACGTCGCCAACATTCCGAACCGTCATGACACTTTTTCACGTTTCCAACGGTCCGAAATGTGCATTCGGACGGTCCGAAACCCCAACGGACGGTCCGCCAGTTCTGCGCAGGGATTGGCGGGCGAATTTCACTCTGCAAACCTGCGCAGGGATTGGCAAATGAATTTCTCTAGCGACAGCCTGTGTATTTGGTTACGAGTGTCGCGGGAGCTACGCGAGACTACAGTAGTCGCGAATTCGGAGCACTCGCAAAAAGTGTCATGTTTCTCTCCGGACGGTGGCAAGGTTCCGAAACGTCACATCGGACGGTCCGTTTCTCGATATTAGGACCGTCCGTTTTAAACTGTACGGACGGTCCGAAAAAACCAAAAAAAAAAAAAAATCAAAATGGTTACACGCCCTTAGCGAATGCGTTGTTTGTCTTGAAGTGACGGGGAAAGCTGTGAATGGCCAGCGAAATTCTGGTTGCCTTCACCCATCAAATTGCACCTTCATATGGGTAGGCTCGATAGTAGAATAAACGCTAAAAATTGCCTATAACAGGCTGTAACATGAACCTGCTTGGGGTCAGCTTCTGTTGCCGAGACAGTTCGAACAAACCAAGTGACCAGCCTCGTTCCGAAGTAGGGGGGTTCTTTGGGATCACCTCGAACATCTCTGCGTCCTGATTCGTCAGTTTCAGATTTCCGACAGTTCACGATTTTCGGACGAACTTCGCAACTGTCGTTCTTGCCCACATGTTTCCTCGGGTTCTTGAGGGGAACCTTGCGTGAGATGCCGCGAGCTATCCCTCAATTACGAACCCGTTTCAAACTTCGAATTTTTAGGGATGAAAAGGCACCAACACCAGCATCAGCAGATTGTCGCGAAGCCACAGTCGCTCCGCCCTCATGGAGGCCATTCGCGCCTCGACCTCCGTCGCCGCCCGTCATCTCCTCTGTTACTCGCCGCGCGTCGCCCCTCTTCCGCCGTCGTCTCACCGCGACGCGCCGAGCAGCCACTTCGCCTCCGCGCTGCCGCCCGTCTGCCATCCGCACTCGCGCGTCGCTCCCACCCTCTCCGCCGCTGCGCGACCGCAACACTCGTCGCGATGCCTCTCGTCTTTGGGCCGCGCCGAGCCACGGCCAATCGCTCTGAGAGACACCCCGGTCGGCTCCAGGCGGAGAGTTACAATAGCGGGGGCCGTGGTGGCGGCAACGGCGGAGGCGGGGTCTGCTGAAAGCGACGGCGACCGTGCGGTGGACGCGCTGGTGGAGGCGGAGGGCGGCGCAGCGCACGGGTTGGGGGGTAACGAGAGCAGCGGGGGCAGCGATGGCGGTGAGGGCAGCGACGGGGGTGAGGGCGCGATGTCGCGGAAGGAATTGCGGAAGCGTCGGCAGGAGCGACGACTGCGGCTGATGGTGAGTGCCATGCGAGGCTGCTTGACTGAGCGGCAGGGTTTGAGAGGGGTTTAGCAAGGGGGGGGCCGGGGGGGGGGGGGGAGGGGGGAGGGGGGAGGGGGGGAGAGGGGGGGAGGGGGGGAGAGAGGGGGAAGGGTAGCGCCAGGAAATCCGATCTCGGCGCTCAGCTGCGTGGCTCCGCGCAGCTGCTCTCGGCGCCGCCTGTGGCGATGGCTGTTGACGCCGAGAGCGCTGAGACCGGCCAGTGTGCCCCCTCGCCACTCTGGCTTGGCAGCAGGTGGGCCATTCTCATCCACCTCACCTCACCTCACCTCACCTCACCTCACCTCACCTCACCTCACCTCACCTCACCTCACACATACACACACACTCACACAAAACCATCCCCACTATCCCTCACCCTTACCCCACGTCCCTCTGTGTCCCCCTGTATCACACTGTGTGTCCCCCGCATCCCCCACGTCCCCGACGTCCCCTGTGTCCCCCGCGTCCCCCGTGCCCCCCCCGTGTCCCCCGTGCCCCCCCTGTCCCCCCTGTCCGCCAGGAGCCCGAGGCGGTGGAGCAGCGGAGGCGGCAGCAGGAGGAGCGCGTGATGGCCGCCATGGCGCCGCTCAGAAAGCGCCCCGCCAACCCCGGCGGGCGGCGGAAGAAGACGGCGCCGCAGGGAGGGGGGGACGCAGGGAAGGCGGAGGGGGCAGGTGGGGAGGCGGGAGGGGAAGAGGGGAAGGTGGAAGGAGTGGATGGTGTTGAAGGGGATGGGGGGGGTGAAGGGGGGCTGTTGGCGGGAGGGGGGCGGGGAGAGGCGGCAGTGGGTGTTGACGGCGGTGGAGAGGGGCAGGTGGTGCAGGAGAGGGTTGACATGGGGTCGGCAACGGGCTCTGAGCAGCAGCAGATGGGCGATGCGGTGGAGGCGATGAGGGCGCGCGGCATTCAGTGGTGGAAGGTGGGCACCTTCCGAGGAGGCGAGTTCGAGGCACAGCAGCACATCGCCGCCCTGCTGACCCAGCACTGCCCCGGCGAGCCGTGTGAGGTGCGTGCTGCTCCGTGGGGTGGGGCAGGGCTAGTGGGGGAGGGATGGTTGAGCTGGGGAGGGCAGGGTGAGTGAGTGATGAGTGGGGTAGGGCAGGGTGAGTGAGTGATGAGTGGGGTAGGGCAGGGTGAGTGATGAGTGGGGTAGGGCAGGGTGAGTTGAAAGGCAGGGTGAGTTGAAAGGCAGGGTGAGTTGAAAGGCAGGGTGAGTTGAAAGGCAGGGTGAGTTGAAAGGCAGGGTGAGTTGAGTTGAAAGGTGGGGAATAGTGGGGCAGGCCAAGTGAGACTGTGAAGGGACTAGGGAGGGAAGCGGAGGGAAGGGGCGGAGGGGAGTGTCAAAGGGGATTTTTATTGACTTGGTGGACCGCGGATGCCTGCATTTGTCTCTCTGACTCGCCGACTCCACGCTCTCCCTGCTCTCCTCTCCCACCGCCCACGGCAATGCGCCCATGGCAGATATTCGTGCCGGCCATCCGCTCGCCACAGCATGCCAGCATAATGCGCCGGGCAGCAGCAGCCATGGAGGACGGAGGCCCTCCCCCACCCTTGGGGGCGGGCATGCAGCGCATAGAGCCGTGTGTGCTCTACGTGCGCTGCACCATGTCCTCCACCCTCTACAAGCAGGTGCGCCCTCTACAAGCAGGTGCGTTGCACTGCGCCCTGCCCCATCCCGCGCCCTGACATGGCTCACATCACCCCACTACACCTCTCACCACTTCCTCCCTCTCTGCCTCACAACTCCTCACATGCCCCTCTGCTTCCTCACATGCCCCTCTGCTTCCTCACATGCCCCTCTGCTTCCTCACATGCCCCTCTGCTGCCTGTGCGCCCCTCTGCTGCCTGTGCGCCCCTCTGCTGCCTGTGCGCCCCTCTGCTGCCTGTGCGCCCCTCTGCTGCCTGTGCGCCCCTCTGCTGCCTGTGCGCCCCTCTGCTGCCTGTGCGCCCCTCTGCTGCCTGTGCGCCCCTCTGCTGCCTGTGCGCCCCTCTGCTGCCTGTGCGCCTCTCTGCTGTCTGCACGCTGCGCAGGTGGTGGCTTTGGAGCGAGTGAGAGGCTTCGTGGGGGAGGTGGTGGGCAAGGGGTGAGTCCGGGATGGGCAAGGGGTGAGTCCGGGATGGGCAAGGGGTGAGTCCGGGATGGGCAAGGGGTGAGTCCGGGATGGGCAAGGGGTGAGTCCGGGATGGGCAAGGGGTGAGTCCGGGATGGGCAAGGGGTGAGTCCGGGATGGGCAAGGGGTGAGTCCGGGATGGGCAAGGGGTGAGTCCGGGATGGGGAACTGAAGGGTGTGTCATGCAGTCTGGTATGAGTGGTGGAGCATGCAGTCTGTTAGAGCCTCTCTGTTCACACTTGAAGCAAGTAAGTCAACTTCCTGTCGCAATAGCGTGACTTTTCCCCCTTTGCCCTTGCCTCTAGAACGTTAGAGAACGATTTTTATGGACTAAGACAATGATTTTTTTTTAGATCTGCCACACCCACCCCCCTCAGTCAATTAACAAGAGTTTGAGCTTGTTGTCTCACGTTTTAGAGGCAAGTGTGAAAAGCCACGCTACTGCGATGGGAAGTTGACTTCCCTGCTTCAAGTGTGGATTGTATGTCATTTGTAAGTCATCCACCCCACCTCGCTCATCTCACCGCCTCTGTGTCCACCACACGACACCCCTTGGGCCCCCCAGCAAGTACGGCAACATGCTGCCGCGCGCCATCCCGCTGGTGGAGCTGGCAGCCGTGGTGGAGCTCGTGAGGGGCAAGCAGGCCGAGGCTGACCGCCAGGCACACGAGGCAGAGAGGGGTGGTACTGCTGTACAGGGGGGCAAGCAGGGTGCAGGTGGCGCTGACACACCAGAGAAGAGAGAGGCGTGGGATGGTGAGGGTGAGGGGGGAGCAGCAGCAGCAGTGGTGAGCAAGGGGGCACGCATGCGGTCGGCAGGTGTGGCGGGCCAAATGGGAGGCCGTGCTACCCGTGGTGCTGCTGGTGCTGATTATGACGACAATGATGACACCGATGCTGCCGGTGCCTCTTCTAGTGGCGGCAGTGGCAGCAGTGGTGGCAGTGGCAGCAGTGGTGGTGGGTTCTCTGGCGTGAGTTCACGCCATGATGACCCGAGTGCCAGCAGCAGCGGCCGTAGTAGTGGCAGAGGCACAAGCAGCAGGGGCAGAGGCAGATGGAACAGAGGGGGAAGTCCAGGGAGGGAGAGCAGCAGGGATGAAGGTTGGGGCAGCAGAGAGAGTGAGGAGGGGTGGAGATACAGTGGCAGTGGCAGTGGCAGTGGCAGTGGCAGTGGCAGTGGCAGTGGAAGTAGGGACACATGGAGCAGGCGGGGGCAGATGGAGGAGAGGCCTGCAGGGGGCGGGCAGGGCAACGAGTCACGCGGTGGTGGTGGGAGGGGCGGGCGGCAGACATGGCGGCGAAGGGTGGATGAGCGAGGGGAAGGGGAAGGGAGGGTCGGAGGGCCTTTCAAGGGGCTCAAGGGCATGAGCAGGTGATGGTTGGCAGCACACTTGGCTGAGAGACACTGTTGCGTGGATGCGTCCCTCAAGTGCCTCATCAAATGATACCTTCATCGCTCCCAAATAGTAGACATGTTTGTCATATCCAGCACTGCATGCAAGTGAAAAACTTATTACGGTAACTGGAAATTTTCAGATAAAGAGATTTCTCATACCACTATAAAGTCCCCCCCCCCCCCCCCCCCACACTATCCAGCTTTCTGCATAGCAACTACTGTTCAGCCACATTGATCAATATTCGATACGCTGCATCAGGTTGGGACCTGCTGAGCTGACGCAGCATGTGACTCAAATACCGTGAACCCCCGTATATAAGACCCGGGGGTATTATGATAATCGCACCCAAAAAAGTGGGGGGGTCTATACATATGACATACTTTTTATAAGACCCGGGTCTATTCAAATTGACTTTTGTAAGACACATGCTTTTGAGCTCAAACAAGTAATTTCGAATTGCTCCGTTTGTAGCATCTCCCAAAGAACCTCGAAGTGGTCTCCACGAGTGCCAAACCCACGTCATGATGAACTCTATCTGGGTGCCTCCTCCCATTGGCCACAAACACCACTTTGTGTCCACACGAGCGAGAAGGGCACCGTTTGATGGCGCGCAGTGTCGCCTCGGCCATCACATCTCATGCACGTTTCGTGCGGACTGCACACTCCTTGTAAGGGCGGGATCCACTGACACCACTCTGTGAGGGCTGTCAATTCACTTCCTCCTCCTGTTTCTTCTCCCCTTACTGTGCTCGGCTGCCTAAGATGGAAGCGTGTTCCATTTTTCTTTCGACGCTAGCAGCCACTTTATCCCCAGTTTAGCCGCCATGGTGACACCACCAGATGCTGGGACGTCCGGTGCTCGACGCAAGCGCCGAAAGAATGTTCAGGAGCCTCCTATTCCTAGGCCGTCGCCCAGGCCCGTCATGCCAACGCCAAGTTCACCCCGCGGTAGCAGCGAGGAGACAGATAAGGAGCCTAGCGGGAGCCCACGCCGTCCGCTTCCGCAGGTGAAGGTTCCCGTGTTCCCGGAATCACGCCGACCGCGGGGACAGAAGAAGCGGGTGCGCGACGCAGAGACGCCGGAGACAAGGCGCCGTCAAACGAAGAAGGCGCGGAAAGCTTACACCGTCAAGGAGAAGCTTTACTGGCTCAAGATGCTAGACGCGCAGCCAACTATGAGCGTCAGGGGGTTGGCTAGGCTCGCCAAGGTCCAGCCGAAGCAGATCCGCGAGTGGCGCAGCATGAAAGAGCGGCTCGACCAAGCGGCAGGGTGTCGCCAACGTCTTACTGGTGCGGGACGAAAGCCCAAGTACCCGTTGATGGAGGTTGCGGTCTACCGCAGGTTCCTGTCGCACCGTGGGAGAGGCCTGCCAGTTTCCGTTAGCCTGCTGCAGAGTTGGGCGTCGACCTACATGAAGCATCGCCACCCCCAGGTGAAGTGGCGGTCGTCCCACCGTTGGACTAAGAGGTTCCGCAGGCGGTGGTCCCTGGCGCAGCGCGTGAAGACAAAAATCGGGCAGAAGCTAGCTGCAGGTACCTTAACCTCGGCCGTCCTGATGTTTACAGATGTTCAGTCGTACCATATCCATCGGGCCTGACTCACCCTTATCCCGTGCGATGCAGATTGCAAGCAGAGGTGCGAGGCCTTCTGGGAGTTCGTGAGGCAGATGCGCGTGCTCAACTCCTACCCCCTCAACCTGATCGTGAACGCGGATCAGACACCCCTCTTCCTCGAGATGCCTGCCGAGCGCACCCTCGAGATGAAAGGCGCTCGGACCGTGCACGTGCGCACCGCGGGGTACGAGAAGCAGCGCGTCACCGTCATGCTGGCGGTGACCGCGGGCAGCTTGAAGCTCCCTCCGTATGTGGTCTTCAAGCGGAAGACCCCGCCGAAGATCCCCATACCCCGAGGTGAGATGTGACCTAGCGGATGCTCTGCCAGGATTTGGTGAAGGAATTTACCCGTTAATGTTGTGTTTTTGTTGAGCAGGTGTTATCGTGCAAGCCCAGGAAAAGGGCTGGATGGACGAGAGCCTTGTCCAAGAATGGACAACGAAGGTTCTCGTCCCCTTCCTGAAGCCGCACAGCGAAGAGGATGGTCAGCGCAAGGATGCGCTCCTAGTCCTCGACTCCTACCGAGGGCACACCACGGTAGCAGTCGGCCAGACGATGAAGCTGTTCAAGCTCACGCGCGCGGTCATCCCTGGCGGTTGCACATCGCTGGTGCAACCGCTGGACGTTTCGGTGAACCGCAGCTTCAAAGCTGGGGTTCGCCACCGCTACTCCACGTGGTTCCAGGATGAGGGGATTGAGTCTTTCACTCGTGCAGGTGAGCGCTTGAGTTGTACCCGTTTTACCGTGTGCCTCGACCGTGTGTTGACCACGATTGCCCTGTCCGTGTCGTTTTCCGCAGGAAATCTGAAGAAATCCCCCCCAGAAAAGGTTCTGCAGTGGATTGCGGAGGCATGGGCAGACGTCCCTGCAGAATTGATCAAGAAAGCATTCGTGACCTGCGGCATCTCCACCGCCGTGAACGGGAGCGAGGATGAGCTGATCCTCGCCCATCTCCGGGATAAGGCGGAGGTGGAGGTGTTGGAGGATGTGTGCGAGGAGGAGCTAGAAGAGCTCATCCCCAATCCTTTCTACCCCGACCCTGCTGCCCCTGCGAACAAGGACAACGATGATGCCTCCTCTCCAGAGGAGGAGGGTGAGGAGGAGGAGGAGGAGGAGGAGGACGAGGAGGAGGAGGAGGAGGAGGAGGAGGACGAGGAGGAGGAGGGGGACGAGAAGGAGGACGAGGAGGACGAGGGGGATGAGGAGGAGGGTGAGGTGGAAGGCGGTGCGGAGGTGGAGGGTGGAGCGGGATGGGAGGATGATGGCGACGAGTGGTGGGCAGAAGGGCGATATGATGGGGAGGAGGTGGAGATCTGGGTTGCTGGTCAAGATTAGGATGAAAATGTGTATGTGCATGTGCGTTTATGGTGGTTCTGTCTTTCCCTGAACATGGAAATGACCATTTTCTATTGCATTTGTTGAAAATCCGGAATTCTCTAGGGTGGGGGGGGTCTTATATTGTCAGGAGCCATTTAGGGGGGTATAACTCGCATATACTCGAATAGAGTACCCCCCCCCCCCGTATTATAGACCCGGGGGTCTACAACTGGAGGGGGTCTTATATACGGGGGTTTACGGTACTACAGGGCTATGCCAGCCAAGTAATCACGTGCATGTATTTGCGTGAGTGCCTAAGCGAAAATATATGCGCCACGTTAGATTCTAAAGGAAATTTGAATGTTTGAACGTTATATATGCTCCAGGCAGGGCTCTGGTTAGCAGGGTGAATCACCCTTACAACGCTTACTATAAGGCGGGGGTGTCTTTACCTTTTTTTTAAGAGTTGTTTGTTGGTGGACCCTTTTTGAAAAAGCTATGTTACACATAGGGCTGATATTTCAGAGTGGTCCGTGTAACCGGACTACCGTCAGCCCCCGGATAGAAGCGCCCCTGGGGGTATAAAAAAACACTGTTTTTTAGGGGGTGGGCTTATAATTGAGGATTTTTATAAGCGCCGGCGCTTATATAACGGCAAAAATGAAATTAAGTAGTTTTTACACCAATCTGTAGATCTCGTTCTGCACATTGTAATCGAGTCGAAAATATATGGGGTCGCGAATCTGATTCTCGCTCAGCTTGGCAGGGATTGATTTTTTGCCAACACATGCTGACAAAGCGACAGCACGTGCTGACTAGACGCGAAGCAAGTGAGATGTGAGTGGGAAACTGCAACTGTACTTCGCTTCCCTGGTACGGTGAAATTCGTTTCTGTATTTCGACTGATTTTCAGATATAAAATTGGCATGCGCTTATAATAAATCATGAATTTTTAGGGGGTGCGCTTATAATCGAGGACCGGATATAAGCGCCCTCATCCTTTTATAAGCGCCGGCGCTAATCCGAGGCCTGCGCTTTTATCCGGGGGCTTACGGTAATGCGAAAGACTCGAAACGAATCTGACACTGACGATTTTTTTTTTTTGGTCGTCCAATCCAGCACATAAACAGTCGGCGAAAATTTTGCTGCAATTAGCGGCAATTTTTCACAATCAGCGACTGTGCGCGTCGCCGTGACGGCCCGGACCTGGAGAACACCACAGTACCGTACTGTTCCTGCACACCATGGAGAACAACCACGGGGTGTTGAACTTCTACAAATCGCTGACCCTGATGCTGCAGTCAACAGATTATGGGGGTGCATACCCGAACATGGTGCGTTTGTGGCAGGCGGTGGCAGTGCTCCCGTTGAGCACTGTTGAGTACGAGCACGGTTTCAGCCGACAAAACCGCATCAAGAGCTATACACATACCAGTTTAGGAGATGCACGATTGGGGGATATGATGACTTGTGCGCTTCTCCCATCTGCAGATGTGAACTGGACGAACGTTGCGGCACTCTTTCATAGTCTCAAAAAGCGTCGCCCAGCTGGAGATTTTCTTAATGATGTTTTGTAGGCATATATGGTAGCCGTAGGGTTAAGTTAGGTAGGTAGGAGCCTTGTTCTTGTAGTTTAGGAAAAAAACGATTCTTACCATCACACTGATAAGGAAAAGTAAACTAGCCCCCAACCCTTACCAGAAAAAGTGCATTTTGTGGCACACACTGACAGAAAAAGTACTTGAGAGACGGTGGCCTTACGTGGATGAGCCCCAAGAATCCTAACCAGAGCCCTGGCCCCAGGCTCTCATATTTGTTTTTGGGCTATCTGATTTGTCAGACTTGGTACACAGTTTTAGTCTGGTCAATCAGACTTGGTAAAAAAAAAAAAACTGAAATTTCAAAGTACATATTAAAAAAAAAAGTATGATCATTCAGAATTGATGCAAGCGAAAAATCTGATGGTGTTTACAAGATCTTTGTTGTCTCATAATATTAAGGCACATTAGATCCAAGCATATAGCAATAATACCACTCTACCCTACTAAACAAAAATGCATCATTATCGTTAGCAAATGCACGGTCTCCTATATACATAGTACGGTAGCTCGTTGTTGGTCGGTCGGAGGCTGTCACGTCCCACACTCGACGAGCGCGGTGAACTTAGCCATTGCCAGCTTGTGCTTCTGGTTGCTAGCGTGCTTACGGAATGACTGGATCTGCACGTGAGTAACACCTCCTTTCCTGCGCCTCCCGCACTTTCTTGCGTCACTAGCATGGACTGAACAAACCCTGCACTGAAAAGCAGGCAACCCTGTGGTGGTTTTTGTTTGTTTGAGCCAAGGGTTAGCAGCGGACAATTGAGACTTGTTCTTCTCAACATCATCCTCGTAGTCATCTTCTATGGGTTGTGCCAAGTTCAACGTCGTCTGCTTGAGTCAGATGTCAATTGCCTCTTCGATAGCATCAGGGGCATCTGAGAATAAGGGCGCTGGCTTCTCAGGGCTCGAGCTATTAACAGACGTAGGAGGCGTTTCATCAGCAACGGAGGCATCGTCCTCAACAGCCATGGCGGGGCAGGAGAGTGCCGACCAGAGTGGGTGGTAGCAAGAGCTGACAAAAGCACTGGAGAGAATGAGGTGAAGCATGGGGCTCGAGGGGTAAAAGAAAGCCTGAAAGACGATGTATCTTGATGCTCACCAGCTCTTGCGGGTGGGCGGTTGCCTAGCATGCACGGCAACGAAGAGGCACTACTGCCGTGCATTGCTGTGTGCAGAGTTTTGTGGCTGCCAAATGCAGCAATGTGGGTACTGGTGGACACCTTGATGGGTTGGCAAAGGCTACTAAACGGACCAATCATCACGCAAACATTGTATGTGCTGATGCTTGACTGTTGTCCCAGTTATAGTGTGCTTGATGGGACAACTGTCAAATGCCTCCGCTGATCATGGATGTCGGCGCCGATATAGGTACATTGAATCAGATTCAGTATACATTTGTACAATGAAGGATGAGAATACACTCCCGGAAAAATCTGAAATTTTAGAGTTAGCCTTAAAAAAACATTTGAAACTTCAGAGTTGAGGCCCCAAAAAAAAAAAAAAAAACTTTCAGAGTACACTAAAAAAAAAAATCTGAAACAACAAAGTTTTTCATGCAAATCAAAGATTTTTTTCTGACTTCTGGGGGTCTGCTGAGAAATCTCACTAAGTTAAAGGGAAAGAGAAGGAAGGGAAAGTGAAGAACAAAGACATAAAAAAATAAGAAATATATATATATATATATATATATATATATATCAAACAACAACAACAACAGCAACATCAACAACAACAACTGTCAAACATTGCACATATGTTATTTGCTTTGTAGGCTACAGTGGGTTAGCCTTTAGGGGGTACACAATTCTAGGGTTTCATACTTGTACTCCCATCTTCTCATAGTTCAACACTTCTTGTTTCTGACATGGTATTAGAGCTTAGGTCCTATGCCTAGAACCGCTTACCTAAGGGCCCACCGCTAGAAGCGCCCTCGAGCGCCTCGCTCCTAGTACGCCCTCGTGCGCCTCTCTTCCTCCTGCTGCCCGCGCGCAGCTCGCTAGTGCCGCCGAACCGAGCCGCGCAGCCCGAACCGAGCCGCGCCGCCCTAGCCGAGCCGCGCCGCCCTGCTGTGCCCCACCTGCAGCATCTACTGCCGTACTACTGCTTCGACTGCACCTGTTACTACTACTGCTACTGCTGCTACTGTTCCTACTGCTGCTACTGCCACTATGGCCACTCCCTCTATTCTCACCTTTGACGCTGAGGGCCGCCCGATTAAGTTTGAGGTTTGGTTAGATAACCTCCACCTGTTCCTCCAGATTACTGCCAAGGACGATGTCTCCCTGTATGACCACACGTCAGGCGCCGCTCCCGCACCTCCCGCTACTGCTGACAGTACTGCTCGCTCCCAGTGGCAGACCCGTGATGCTCACGCTCGCCTAGCCGTTCGCAGCCACCTGCCGTTAGATGAGCGCGAGCACTTCGGCCAGCATAAGACCGCTAAGGAGCTGTACGACGCCGTAGTCGCGCGCTACTCCTCCCTTGCCACAGCTGCTATAGGCCGTCTCTCACTGCCCTACCTCTTTCCCGACCTGTCCGCCTTTGCCACTGTAGCTGACCTCATCACCCACCTCCGTACCAGTGACCTCCGCTACCATTCGCGCTCCCCCCCGATTTCCTCGCCAAGAACCCCCCTCCCCCCCGATGTACCTCACACTGTACCACCTTGTCACCCGCCTCCCTGACTCCCTTCGCACTGTCAGGGACCAGTTTCTCGCCCTTTCCCCCACTGACCTCACTGTCGACCTCGTCGAGAAGGAACTCCTAGCACCTGAGAAGAGCATTGTCGCTGTAGGTGCCTCTCGTGGTGACCCCCGCACCCCCTTCTTTGAGGGGTGCTCCCCCTCCCCCCTCCTCCCCTCCATTGCATCTGCTGCTGCTGTCGACTACCTCGGAGCTGAGGGAGTCGGGGCCGCGTCTACTCCTAGTGGGAGGCGCAAGGGCGGCAGGGGCAAAGGGGGCAGGGGTGGTGGAGGTGGAGGCGGGGGCAGCGGCGGTGGAGGGGGTGGGGGGGGCGGGGGTGGTGGCGGAAGTGGGAGTGGCGCGGGTGGTGGGGGGGTCAGTGGCGGCACAGGGGGTGGTGGCGGCGGCGGTGGTGGTGGGGGTGGTGGGGGCGGTGGTGGCAGTGGTGGTAGCGGTGGAGCCTGGCCAGACTTGTGGGAGGTTTCACATGGCGCAGTGCTGTTCCTTTCGCCTCGACGACGCCTGGCGCGAGCAGTTCCCTGACGCCTCTGAGCTGCCTCGCTGGGCTGATCTGCTTAGGAAGGGGATTGATGTCTTTGCTCTTGATTATGATGCTATCCTTGCTGCCATGTATGCATTGACTATTAGTGCTGAGGGTGACTGTTACCTGAGTGTACCGCCCGACCCGGGTATTGGGCCTGGTGAGACTGCTGCTCTAGGTACTAGTCCGTCTACTACCCTTGGTACTGGTAAGGCTGCTGCGCTAGGTGCTCGTGCGTCTGCGTCTGCTGGTACTAGGTCTACTGCAGCACTCCACACCTTCACACTGGACTCAGGTGCTTCCCGCTGTTTCTTTCGTGACCGCACTGTCCTTGAGCCGCTAGCTCGGCCTGTTGCTGTCTCCCTTGCTGACCCCTCTGGGGGCCCGGTCCTTGCGACCTCCTCCACTGTCCTCCCTTGTCCTGCGGCCCCGTCTGGCACTCTGTCGGGTCTCTACCTCCCCTCGTTCTCTACGAACTTGGTGGCAGGCTCTGCTCTCCAGGACAGGGGTGTTCACCAGTTCACCCCTGCCTATGAGCGGGTGACCCATTGTACGTGTGCTCGGACGGGTCGCCACCTGGCTACCTTCACTCGGCAGCCGGGGTCCGACCTGTACACACTGACCACTGAGTCCCCTCAGGTAGCTGCGTCTGCGTCTGCGTCAGGTCAGCTGTCGGCTCCCTGCTCGTGTCGCTCCCTGTCGCACCAGACCGTCCTCTGGCACCACCGCCTTGGTCACCCCTCCGTGCAGCGCCTTCGTGGCATGCACTCCCGGTACCTTGTCTCTGGTCTTCCCAGAGTTCTCCCTCCCCTCCCACCCTCGCCTGCTCCTCCCTGTCTTCCCTGTGTCGAGGGGCGGCAGCGCGCCACCCCTCACTCCTCCTCGTTCCCTCCCACAGAGGCTCCTCTGCAGACTCTCCACCTGGACGTGTGGGGCCCGGCCCGCGTCCGGGGACAGGGCCACGAGCGGTACTTCCTACTGGTTGTCGACGACTACACGCGCTACACCATGGTCTTCCCCTTGCGCACCAAGGGTGAGGTCCCTGATGTTTTGATCCCTTGGATCCGCGCTACCCGTCTCCAGCTCCGCCAGCGGTTCCAGTCGGACTTTCCCGTCCTGCGTCTGCACTCTGATAGGGGTGGTGAGTTCTCTTCCAACCTCCTGGCAGCCTACTGTGCGGAGCACGGCATCCGCCAGACTTTCACGCTTCCGGACTCCCCACAGCAGAATGGGGTTGCTGAGCGCCGCATTGGTTTAGTCATGGAGGTCGCTCGTACCTCCATGATCCATGCGGCTGCCCCCCATTTCCTGTGGCCGTTTGCAGTGCGGTACGCTGCGCATCAGCTCAACCTTTGGCCCCGTGTCTCTGCTCCGGAGACCTCGCCCACACTGCGTTGGATGGGGGAGGTTGGCGATGCGTCGGTGTTCCGTGTCTGGGGATGTCGAGCCCTTGTTCGCGATACGTCCGCGGACAAGCTCTCCTCCCGTGCCGTTCCCTGCGTCTTCCTTGGCTTTGTCCCTGACGCGCCTGGCTGGCAGTTTTACCACCCCACCTCGCGCCGTGTCTTCGCCTCTCAGGACGTCACTTTTGACGAGTCGGTACCCTTTTACCGTCAGTTCCCCTACCGCACTGCGCCGCTTCCCCCCCGCCGCTCTTCCTTACCCCAGGTGTCCCTTCGGTAGACCCCCTTCCTCCCCAGGGTCCTGCTCCCTCAGGTGTTTCCCAGGTAGACCCGGTCGAGCCTGTCGAGGTAGCTGTTGACTCTGGTCCTGCGAGGGGTGCTGAGTCTGGGGGTGCTGAGCCTGGTGGTGCTGCTCGGGGTGCTGAGCCTGGGGGTGCTGCGTCTGAGGGTGCTGAGCCTGGGGGTGCTGAGCCTGGGGGTACTGAGCCTGGGGGTGCTACGCCTGGGGGTGCTGAGCCTGGGGGTACTGAGCCTGGGGGTGCTGAGCCTGGAGGTGCTGGCTCCAGTGGTGCTGGAGCTGGAGGTTCTGGAGTTGCTGGCGCTCCCACTGGCGCTGGAGGTCCTGGAGCTGCTACGGACACTGGCGCTGCGGGTTCTGAGTCTGCTGTTGCGCGGTCTCCTTGGAGTAGCCGCCTTCGTATGCGTGTGCCTCTCACCTCTCAGCAGCTGCGCGACTGGTACGATCGCCGTCAGCGTCGCGCTCCTGGCGGTGCTTCCACTGACGTCACTGGAGCTGAAAGTGGTGCTGGTTCGTTGTCTCCCGGAGGTGCTCGTACCGCTGGTACTCGAGCTGCTGGGGCTGGTGGTGCTGTGTCTGAGGGTGCTCCCGCTGGGGACACTGCGACTGGGGGTGCTGGTTCTGGAGGCGCTGCTGCTGGTGGAGACTGTCCTGGAGGAGTTGCCGCTGGGGGTGGTGGAGCTACTGGAGGTACAGGAGCTGCTAGAGGTACTGGAGCTGCTGGTGCTGGCGGCACTACACAGTCGCGACTTTCTTCGCTCCGCCGTCTCCGTCGTCTCTGCCGCCGCCTGACTCTGTCCTTCGCCAGGTTCTTAGTCTTCCGTCCTCTACCGGTCTTCCCCTTCTGCCTGGCTCACCGCTGCCTGCTCCTTCTCCTTACAATGAGCAGTCCGGTGGTCTTACTAAGCATCGTGAGCCTGCGTCGCGTCCTGTCTCGCCTGTTCGTTCTGGTCGTTCCGGTCGTCGTCTCACGCGTCCGCGCTCGCCGACTGTCCCCGGCACGCACCTTGTCGTCCGTCGTCCTTCCTCTGGTCCACAGTCTGTTCCTCTGCCGTCTCCTCCTGCGTCGTCTTTGCCTCACGTTCCGGACCCTGAGTCTGACCGGTTTCGTGCTGAGCACCCTACTGTCACGCGTCTGCTAGCCACTGTTGTCACTGACCCCTCGTTTGAGTCTTCTGCTGCGTCTGCCTTGGTCGCTGAGCTTGTTGACTTTGCTGCTGCCTGTCGTCTAGACTACGCTGCTAGCCTTGTTGTTGAGTCTGAGTCTGTCTGTCCTCCGTCCGTCGGGGGTGAGTGTGCTCTTAGCACGGACGTCCTTGAGGACAGGCAGGAGGACTTTGAGTGTCTTGCAGCCGCTGCGCCTCATCTCGTGGCCATGCTGCTTGCCCCTGAGGGAGACCCGGATGCTATAGACATCCCTACCCCGCGTTCTTACGCTGAGGCGATCGCGGGTCCCTACTCCTCTCAGTGGCAGGCAGCCATGGACGCAGAGATGGCATCCTGGAAGTCCACTGGCACTTACGTCGACGACGTTCCCCCTCCTGGGGCGAACATCGTCAGTGGCATGTGGATTTTCAGGGTGAAGCGGCCGCCGGGTTCTCCGCCTGTCTTCAAGGCTCGTTACGTTGCACGAGGCTTCAGATAGCGACAGGGAGTCGACTTCTTCCAGACCTTCTCCCCCATCCCGAAGATGACCACTCTTCGGGTACTGCTGCACGTTGCCGCTCAGCGTGACTACGAGCTTCACTCTCTTGACTTTAGCACAGCTTTCTTGCAGGGCAGCCTGCACGAGGAGATCTGGCTGCGCCGCCCTCCTGGCTTCACTGGGTCATTTCCTCCTGGTACCCAGTGGAGCCTCCGTCGGCCAGTCTACGGTCTCCGCCAGGCGCCACGTGAGTGGCACGACACACTGAGGACTACACTTGCGGCTCTTGGGTTCGCGCCTTCTACTGCTGACCCGTCGCTGTTTCTGCGCACCGACACTTCGCTGCCGCCGTTCTACATCCTCGTGTACGTCGACGACTTGGTCTTTGCCACTGCTGACACTGAGGCTCTCGCCCACGTGAAGTCCGAACTGCAGAAGAGACACACGTGCACAGACCTGGGTGAACTGCGCAGCTACCTTGGCTTGCAGATCACCCGGGACAGAGCACGCCGCACCATCATACTCACTCAATCACATATGGTGCAGCAGGTCCTTCAGCGCTTCGGCTTCACCTGGTCCTCAGCACAGGCCACTCCTCTGGCTATAGGTCACTCGCTCTCAGCTCTGCCTTCGGATGAGTCC